AGGGGCCCCCCGAGGGGCCCCCCGGGGTGCCCCCTGGGGGGCCCCCTGGGGGGCCCCCCGAGGGGGCCCCCGGGGGGGCCCCCAGGGGGGCCCCTGGGGGGGCCCCCAGGAGGGGCCCGAAGATGAGAGAAGCTGTTACGAAGTTGAGCAGCGCGGGGCTTGTTTTTAGTCATTTTGGAGAACGCATTTTGAGAGAAAGATTCGGTGAGATGAGGGTTTAGGGTTTAGGGTTTAGGGTTTGGGGTTTGGGGTTTAGGGTTTATAAGGGTTTATAAGGGTTTAGCGTTTATTAGGGTCTAGGGCTGGGCGTGAAGTCCGCGGCTCTGGGGGCCACCATCCAGGGTTTAGGGTTTGTGAGGGTTTAGGGTTTGTGAGGGTTTATTAGGGTTTTGGGGGTTTACGGTTTCGAGGGTTTAGACTTCTGAGGGTTTAGGCTTCGAGCGTTTAGGTTTTAAGGGTTTAGGCTTCTGAGGGTTTAGGCTTCTGAAGGTTTAGGCTGCTGAGGATTTAGGCTCGAGGGTTTAGGGTTTAGGCTTTAGGGTTTAGGGTTTAGGGTTTAGGGTTTAGGGTTTGGGGCGTGTGGGGTATAGGCGTGGAGTGTGAAGAGAGTCTCCGGGACTTGATGGTTGGGGTGTACATACACCTCATCGAAGCTGTAGATGCAGCAGATAATGGAGTTGGCATTTCCAGAGGGGGGCCCCCCCTTTACAAAGAAACCACTGGATTGGCGAGTAGGGTTGCAGCACTGTACCCTATCAAGTTCGAGGCCCCTGGGGGCCCCCCGGGGGCCCCCCAGGGGGCCCCCAAGGGGGGGGCCCCCCCGGAGGGGGCCCCCCAGGGAGGCGCCCCGGGAGGCCCCCAGGGGGGCCCCCAGGGGGGACCCACCAAGGCGAACGGGGGGGCCCCACAGGGTACTGCTGCAGCAGCAGAAGGGGGCCCCCAAGGCAAGGGGGCCCCCGGGGGGGCCCCCGGGGGGGCCCCCGGGGATGCGGCGCTGGGGCCCCTGGGGCCACTGTACCTGTGGGAGTACCAGGTGAGCCTTGCTGCTGCTGCGCTGCAGCAGCAGCAGCGGGAGCTCTTTGCTGCAGCAGCAGCAGCAGCAGGAAAGGGCTGGGAGTGCCCTTTTAACTGGCTGGAAGTGCCCATTTGGGGAGGGTCTGCAGCAGAAGTTTGGGGGTTTAGAAAAGCCATTAAAGCAGCAGATGAAACCCTCAAAGAAACCGTTATACGCTTAATTAGGGTTTGGCTGCCTGCGAGGAAAACCCTCAAAGACGCGCTGCTGCTGCAGGCAGCAGGCTGCTACAGCGCTGCAGCAGTGGAGCTCCCCAGGTGGACACCAGTCGAGGTAATTAATTAATTAATTAATTAATTAAATTAATTAATTAAATTAATTATTTAATTAATTAAAATAATAAATTATTCATTAAAGTGCATGATGGTAAATGTGGCGGAGTGGCCAACAAGGGCAACAAGGAACGAGAGAGCAGCATGTC